TAAAAAAATCCCACACCAGTTGTACACGTTTAGGCCATGGACAGACCTAATTATATAGGCCTACATACAGTTATAATGTTTTGACCTATTGTAAGGTGACTGTGATCTACATGTTAGTATATCAGTTCCTGACTTTTCGGTAATTGACCGAGCGTAATGTTATTTGAATATGATGTTTTGTGAAATTAAAAAAAAAAAATTTTCTTGTTGAGAGATCTTATGCCTCTATAGACTCTCCAGAAAACAGAGACTTATTGCGTTGTAACTTCGGGCTGGGTAATTGTATAAAAGTGTGGTATATCAAGGTTGTGGACCCTTTAGAGGTCACAATTTTAATCCGATTTTGATGAAACTTGAAATGCATGTTTATAACTCAAAGATCTTGGTTCCTTTCAATATCTGCGCATATCGGATCATAACTTCCTGAATTATGGCCCCTGATTATACGAAAGATCGCCTCTTTTAGCTTGTGGTCCCTCTGAATGTCGCAGTTATCCAATTTTAAAAAACGTTTGAATATATCATCGTTACACCGTAATAAAGGTTGAGTTCAAATTACGTAAAAATTGGACCAAAACTGTTGGACAAAATGGCCGTCGCTTGTATGCTAGTAGTGTAAAAATATGGTACATGCAGGGTTGTGGACCCTGTAGAGGTCACAATTTTAATCCGATTTTGATAAAACTTGAAATGCATGTTTATAACCCAATGATCATGGTTCCTTCGATATTTGCGCATATCGAATCGTAACTTCCTGAATTATGGCCCCTGATTGTACGAAAAATCGCCTTTTTTAGCTTGTGGTCCCTCTGGAGGGATTTAAAAAAACGTTTGATTATATCACCGTTACACCGTAGTGAAGGTTGAGTTTGAATTTCGTGAAAATCGGACCAAAACTGCCGGAAAAATGGCCGCCGCTTGTATGCAAATAGTGTCAAAATATGGTATATCAAGGTTGTGGACCCTGTAGAGGTCACAATTATAATCCGATTTTGATGAAACTTGAAATGCATGTTATAACCCAAAGATCTTGGTTCCTTTCGATATTTGCGCATATCGAATTGTAACTTCATGAATTATGGCCCTTGATTGTAGGAAAAACACTTTCTTTTTAGCTAGTTCTCTATCCATCTCTCGAAAATGTGGGCGTATCCTGCCTGGCAGCCGCTGGTTAGCAGATTCCTTTTAAATATGTTGTGAAGCGTTGTGGTCACGAGAGGACGAACCCTATCTATATTCAGCGTTCAGCGACCTTCCATACCAGTGTTGTGCTGGGCAGGGATAGAACTTTATTTGAAAACACACAAGCAAAATTTTGCTTGCTGATTTCAAATGTACAAGCAAAAATAGGATTTTGAAGAAATTCAAGGGGCAATTTTTTTCTTTAATGAAAATACTTTTATTATCTTTGGATTACATGTTCAAGTTATGTTATACATTGGAGTGTACACATATGGCATGTTTTATTATAAAGTGTACCAGTGGGTATCTAACAAATGTAATGGTTTTATTAGAAAAGAGAAAAAGAGTTTTTAAATATTTTTATTATCTTCAAAATCAGCATATATTGAACATATAAAATACTTAATACCAGCTTTATTCGTGTATTTTTTTTATTAAAATAAGTTTCAAATATTTTAATGAATTACATCATTTAAGACAGACATTTTTCCCATCATTTTTTGTCAAGATTTTAGAATACATTGAAATAACATTTGTTTTAAAATTTTTAATTTATTTTTGTATAATTATAATGGCAAGTGTGTCTTTAAAACAGACTTAAAAATAAACTGATGAGAAAAATAACAAGTTCCGAAAATTGAATTGTTCAAACCCCAGTGAAAATTTGACTAGTCTGTCCATTCACAACATTATTGAAGTGGTCTTACTTTCGTTTTGTAAACTTTGTATTTTTATGTCACGTGGAAATAAATTTGTCCCTTTGTGGAATGGCTGTTTTTGGTTTAGTATATGCCATTTAAAAAAAGCGGGAAAATGGTTTGGAAAATCAAATTTCCATGCTTATATATTGCTAATGTTTCGTCCCATTGATGTCTGTCCAGTTTTAGCGAAACGTTAGCATTATTTTAATATTTCTTTTTGGCTTCATATTACGTGATAGAATTTGAAAAAACGCTGCAAACGAAGCGTGAGTGTAGTCTCGATCTTCCACACAGTATACGGATAATTTGACACGGGTAGTCGATTGATTATGTCATTTTTACAGTTGTCTGTTCGAAAATGTTAACGTTAGCACTCTTGATACGTTGGTACTACTAATTCGCCTTTCACGGCGTTACTTACTCAAAATGTATCACTTTCTTTACGGCCTTTAGAAAAGAAAACCGGCTTTCCGATTCCCGATGCATAAACATGGCGGTCGGCATTCTCGCCTTATTCACTCGATCAAAATGACTTTGACCCCCGCAAAAAAAGTGCTAACGTGTCAATTGACAGACCGATTAAATAAACCGTCTGTCCTTACGTAACGTTAGCACATGCTTTTAAAATACTTTTTGTCCGATTTTAAATTTAAAACTCGCCCAAGGGTAGAAATACTATACAATTTATTAATACCTTTCATTGCCGACTATTTTATTTTTAGATAAAAACAATAATTCAAGTAATACAGTTATTTATAAAATGTCCACGTCTGTCCTTATGTAACGTTAGCAACAGTTGCATGCCCGATAAATGTTTAAATTTTAGGTTATTAAAATATATGATTATATTTATTATATTAAAATCTTAAATTCTTAATATTATGCTTTAATTAGCATGTAAAAAATCTCAGTAACTACTTACATCAACACTATAAATAGAAATTTTCTTCAAACTTTAGTGCTAACGTTACAAATCTGCCAGAATGTCTGTCCACATGTAACATTAGCAATGCAATTAATTTTTAAATTAAAAATTAATTTGTAAATCATATCCCATGAAACTTCAGATTTAGATAATGTATTATTACATTAAACTTTTGAAGAAAATTATTAATGTATATAAGCAACAGTTAATATCTGAAAGGAAAATAAATCTGCCATGCGTCTGTTCAATTCAAAAGAGACATTTTATATTTACTAAAATGGTCATCTTTACTGTCTTATGAGCCAAAAATAATAGCATTTTCATTCTTTTAACATAATTCAATGTATATTCTACCTATAGAGATTGCTATTTATATGAATTTTAATGTGCATTGTTTGCATTTGATATAATTTCATCTAGAGTGATATGATTAAAAAAATTTCAATATGTTAGGTATAATGTTCAATAAAAAAATTATTTTGCGAAAAATTATCTTTTTTAAAATATATTTTGGAAGAATATGTATTAATCTTCCCTGAGACAGGGATTTTGTAAGAGGAATTGGAATTTCATAATTCAGATGGGATTAGGAACCTATGGTACACTTTAAAAAAAACCATGCCATATTCCTTACAATTTCATTAAAAAGCTAATGGCTAATAAAACACAACGATGAACACCCAAAACTGTCCTCAACACTAACAAAATTAACAAACTTGCAAAAGTTGCTGTTATATTACAATTTTAATTTCCAAAATATTAATTGATATATTTTATTTAAATCAAAAATATTTACAAATGACGGAGGCACAAAAAATATAATAAAAAAGGTTGTGTTCTTTCGGCTGTGCATATTATTATAGCTACCCTTGAAAACTCATTTTTTTTCATTCAAGCATATACCTTCTTGACGATGCATTATATAATACAAGGATAGTAAATTAAAAATACAACATATAAGTACAATGTCAAAAAGTGTCCATTGATTTAGTCAAATAGCGATTTTTCAGATCACGGACAGCTATGCATGAAACGTCCGACGCAGAATCAGTGAATGATAATTAAATCAGTCTACCGGAACTCTCAAAATATATAGTTGGCAATGTTGACATTATTTATATTTCAGCTTTATTAAAATTTATTTCAATCTGAAAATCAATGATTTCTTTGGAAAATCAAAGTATTGGTATAAACAATTTGTCAAGATGAATAGAAATTGAACAGAAACTGATAACTTGAATACTTGACGCATACGCAGATGTCACAAAGCGCCAGATATAGACATCGCTTTATTTACAATATGCAAGGAAGGAAAATCAAAAGAATTTCCGTTGTTTGTCATAATTATTTTCTTCAATTTGCGTAGAAGAAATCATGTTATTCAGTAACAATAAGCGAAAAAATGTTACACACATTTATTTTCGTGTGACATATTTTGCAACACGCAGTCTACAAAATCAACACGCATTTTGCGTGTTTGCGTCCGTCAAATTCGATCCCTGGTGCTGTTTTTTTTCGAAAACTTGTGAACATAATAGAGTAGGTAGTTTTTAACGGATTTTTACAAATTTGGTGGAAAACATTGTATTTGGGGTTATGGGAGGGTGATCCCTATCGATATTTAGCTATCCGTGACCTTCCATTCCGAAGTTTTCCCCTTCTTTCGAAGACCTTGTGGGTGTGTCTTGCAAGGCAACCGCATGTTACTTTTAAAGCCCAGTAAAGAGTTTGTAATGCATTTTTATACGCCCACATTTTCATGCGGACGTATATTGTTGTCGCCCCAGTCAGTCCGTCTACATTTTGTTTGTGGACAGGACAGGTCACAATTTTTATCAGATTTTGATGAAACTTAAAATATATGTTTATATCCCAAAGATCTGGGTTCCTTTCAATACTTTCATGTATCAGACCCAAACTTTCTGGATTATGGCAACTGATTGTAGGAAAACAATTGTTTTTTGGGTTTTTTTTTTTTTTAGCTTCTCTGTCCATGTCTTGCAACAAAATGTGGGCGTATCTTTTATGGCAACCGCTTCTCTTTTTAAAAGCGTGCTCTTTTGGATTGGTTGAGTATGATTTTAAATTTGGCACTGATGACTTTGCGTCTTTTTTTATATGCCCACATTGAAATGTGGTTGTATATTGTCTTAATTGAGCAGTCATCAGTTGTAATTTATATATTTTGACAGGATGTGCAGGTTTATCGGTACTATAGAGATTTAATCAACTTTAAAACACAAGGTGATCCAGCTATGATGTTAAGATGTATTAATCCTAATGAATCCAGATTATTAGATCCAGCTACTGGTGTTCATGTTAGATTTAGATTAGCAGGAGTAAGGACATTTTAATGTGGACATGTATTGCATCATCTGTTTTGAGCTTTTGTTGTGATACAACAATTCTTGTAATTAAAAAATTCACCTTTGCAGGGATTGTTCATATATTCATAAGGAAAAATCCTACCAAAATTTTAAATTGACTGCAAATTTCTGTATATTGTCATCACTTCCCTCCAGTATTCATCTAAAATGTGATCTCTCTCCATCTCTGAAGAAATTCAGAACCTTTCTATTGCAGAATTATATCTGTTTATGTTCAAACTTATGAAAGCTTGTGAAGGCAATACAGTTCTTGATATATTTTAAAACACGATAGGATTAGGATTGTTCATTAGGTTATTTAGAGCCCTATAGAATTTCAAAATTATTTGGATTGTAAATATCGTTATCTATCCAGGCGCATTTTGACATTTCAAGCTTCTGAATGTGATACAGGACAAAGTTGGAAGTTTGTGACAATGTTCATTTGAGACCAAGGAGGAACCTTTATTATCCAAATTCAGAATTTTATTTGTTGCAAAACTTGTTCACATAGAATCTTGTGAACGTGAAACAAGAAAAAGTTCTGATTAACAGGGAGTTTTAAAACACAATACAGGATGTTCTAATGAAGTTTTGAATAATAAATTTGGACTTTGCTGCTTGTGGACATACTAGGGGGGATGACCAACCTCCATTTGTACAACTTGGTAGGATTGTTCATTAATTAGAGTATAACAAGCAAAAACACTATTGACTGTCAAAATAGTCAAATTATAAATTTTGTGGGCTCTCAACACATTTTTGAAAATTTGGTTGGTAGTTATCATTAAACTAAAGAACACTATTAAATTTCAGAATCCTTAAATTTGAAAGTCATATTTCCATTCACATTTCTAAAGCTGATGACTGAGTTCATAGTGGTCTTTCTTAAAAAGTTCTGTACCGGAATTGTTGACTATGATTTTAAAACTAAAATGGATGACTTTGTTTGGGGCAGAGTTTATCATTAGGGCTAGAATATACAACTTTGCTGCTTGTGGGGATAATTATTGGGGGGCTTGACAAGCTCCCATGTCTAGGGTTGATTTTTAGATCACTTAGATCATCCATAAAAATTTTGACTGTTCTGAAATTTTGTTTTTATATAAGAATTCTGTAGAACATTTTTCTTTGATTACTTAATATTGTACTGAATTTGTTCCTATAACTTGTATAAAACTATATCAATCATTCTAAAGTCAATCAACCTTTAAATTGTTGATGCATACCATTACAAGTTGATTTTGATGTGGTCTAAACTATCCTGAGAATACTGTTAAAATAAGACATACATTTATAATACATGTAAAAGATCTGTCGTTGAGATTAATTTGATGAATGTTTATCTAATCTAGGCCAACATGAACTTGATGTGTTATTGTTATAAAATGAGTTAAGCTTCTCTCTTTTATTTTTGATGACAGGATCGGTTTCCACCTAATATCTACTATAAGATCTTTACTCATAGACCAATAGTTGATATGTGTGCTAATAGTCCTAAAGATTATACGAGAGCTACAGCTAAGCAATCAGTAGCATTTGATAGAAACAACAGAGCTAGACAAAATCAACTTGGTGATAGAAAAGGTAACTTTACCGGTATATTGTATGTCAAAATGATTAGATCCACTAATTATGTGAAAATGTGAAAGCTTTCCAATTAAGAAATCATCCCAAAATAAATGACACATTTTTTGTAATAAAAACAAAGCTTTGAAATAAGCTTTATAGTCTTATAGTCCAGTGGATATATGCTGAAATTGTTCAGTTTGCGTTTTATGTGCTGATCTAGAGCAACTTCCGTAAATAGATAGATGATTGACGTCATCAGTGAAATGAAAGGGGGTTTAGCGTTCTTCTTTTCTGCGCTCACTGGGCTAATGAAGATGAGGAATGCCAAAATATATTTGTACGTTTAAAATCGCCGAATGTCATTGAAGAATCCCTTGCAGACAGCAATATTGTGAAAGTTGAATCTCCAAAAGTAATATAAAACCAAAAATGGTTCGATTCTATCAGTATTTATTAAGATATGATGAATTCAGAATTGGTCATCATCTTATATTCACTTTAGACAAGCCTATGATTTTTTCTGAAATCTTTTAATGAGTGACTGCGTTTTTTGAAGGGCTATTTCGGGAGAAATCAGTATCGGCCAATGCACGGTCATTTTGCCAATACTGGAGTTGCCGATATCTGTTGAAAACGACTCAGTAAATACCTTGAAAATATTATCCCAGTTGTGAACAAATCATTATTTTGCTTGACACGCGGTACATCTAATTAGCCACGTGCATGGCAACAGAAATAAAATATTTATTTCGGTTGCCTTGCTTGTTGCTATTTAAACGTACCGGTAATACGAGACTTACCGCTCTCCGGTATCTAAATAGCCAAGCGCACGGCAACCTAAATACAAGTTTTCATTTAAATCCTTATTCACACACTGTTTGAGAGTTTGGGTCTCTTAATGTGATTTTTGAGAATACCATTTCTGTGTATATGCAGACAGCCATTAACATACAACAGTCCACCCGATAAAACTTTTGATTGGAAGAGGGAATAAGCCAATTGCATGATAATCAAAATCATAGCATAGGGCCACTTAGTCTCACGACGATTTCTTTGGTAATCTACTTCCGGTGACAAGCACCGAACAATGGCGGAAAATATGATGCTCTGCAAGACATCGAGTGTGAATCAATGAAGCGTTCGCGGCACCAATTACTTCCATTTTACAAAAGAAAAATAACAGATATTTTAATTTGTTTATCAAGGTATGTAAATCAATTATTTAAACATATATCTTAATAAAATATTTCATATTAATCTTGAAATGGGAGCCCAAGCCTTGGTTTCACAGTTTTAGCCTTTTGCGACAAGTAGATTATCCCTCCGCCTGCACATTTATGTGCTTCGTGAAATTTAAATTTTGATGTCTTGATGGTTATATAAAGTTAAAGAATTATTCCCATAGGTTATAATCCTAAGTACCGGTTATGCCAACTTGGAAAATATGCTATAGGCCTAGTAGGCCTACTGGTGTTTTAAGATACCCCCCCCCCCCCCAAAAAAAAAAACAAACTAAAAATTAAACTTGACTACGTACGCTCACGTATCATGATCTCCCTTGAGTTTTTCAACAAGTTTACCATGTGTTTTATTTCAACAGATTGGTGGATTATAATTTAATATGATGGTGGGGAAATATTCATGTTTTTTAGCACAGAGAGAATGGGCAAAAAATGGACATAGCCCGTAGCATACATGGAAGGTGTTGTGCCTCGAGAAGTAGGTAATTTGTCAAACACTCAGTAATAATTAATATAAAGAATATGGACAAATTTATATTTAATTTTACTATAAATTATATTGTTCAGTATAATTTAGTACCTTTTTACATTTTATGGTTTTGTTTTTCGGATACATTTACAGACCGATCTCACAGCATTTTCCAAAGATCTGTAAAAACAAAATAATACTGGGCCTCATTCATATGTCATAGTATAGGGCTATATCTTATTGTAAAAAAAAGTCACAATTTGTAGGCAGGTTATCTCACTGCATTTTGTGAAGTTTTGTAAAGTTTAAATAATACTAGGCCTATTTCTAAAAAAAATGATCAGCTCCCTCTCAAAAAAAGATCAGGATAAGCAAGCAAAATAACTCTCTGCAGTTTGTGCAAGTTTGTAAAGTAAAATAATATAGGCCTACTACGTATCCAGCTAATAGATTGGCGTCAAGAATGTGTTAAATGCCGGCAAGATTCACCAAAAACTGGCCAGTTTGTGCTACCTTGTAGATTAAGAAACACCGTTTACTTTTGACATCGATCGTCTGCTTTACGACCGTCCAGTTTCATGGAATATTTTTTAGAAATGAACACTACCATTTAGATTTGAAAGGGGTTTAGTTTTTAGACAAGGCCTTTATTTTCCCGGACGTTGTCAAGAAATGAACAGAGTGTTTAATTACTTAAGGCGTTTAGATTTTACGCCAAATTACAACTTTACCGAGAGCCGTCTAGTAACTTACGGGTGAGTAGTAATGCAATGCCGTTTACTTTCATGTTTTGTAATTAGTTTGCCCAGTGTAATCTAGAAAACTTAAGGCGTTTGTTTTTGTGTGAAATATTTAATTTCTATCTCTCAATTTTAGAAACTATGTTCAGATTTAGAATCTGAGTATAGTGTCTAAAATTCTCGTATGAATTGCATATTTGTTGAATATCGTCCATTCTTCGGTATTGTCGACGACCGTTGGGAAAAGTCGATTTACACTGAATTGACAATTTTCCCGGTGTAGATAAAACCAACATTTTATTTATTAGAAATTAACAAAACAATGGACGTATATCTTGTTACTTATAATCTTGCTTTCTGGGTTATTTATTCGCTTCCACAATTAATAACAAATGTATTTGTGAATTTACAAATTAATGTGTGCAGTTTTCGTTTCGGCCACAAATGAAACGTGATTTTCGCATTTATCTAGGCGTCTTTGGGGGACTATTTTCGCCAACATTTATTTTTGTATCTCCACCCCTTGGGAATGTTGAAGAAATACCGAAGGGAGGGGAATTGTTAACTATTGTAGGTACAGTTTCCCCCCATTGAAATGGGCAAGGACCACAAATCGTATCTAGTTTATAATTAGTGGGGGGTTGGATGGCTGAATGGTTAGCGTGCACGCGCTGTATCATAAAGTCTGTCATTGAGTCGACTGACGTGGTTTCGAATCCCTGGTTGTACGTGACAAGGAGTAGGGGCGCCTGTCCAACCTCGTGGGTTTTCTCCGGGTCCTCCGGTTTCCTCCCACTGCTAAAGACCCCTATGCGCAAGCAAATTATTGAAATAAAATTAAACCATATGTTAGTCCCGAAATGACCTAGTTTGTGTCGAGTGGACGTTAAACCCCATTTCTCTCTCTCTCTTATAATTAGTCTTGTCAAAATAAAATCGAGTATTTCTAATCAAAAAACAAAAGCAAAACAAGCAGGGTCATTATAATATTTAATATCCAAATACATGAAAAGTTCTTCTACAAACTATATACACATATTGCACACAAAACACTTATCAGTTTACACACTAACATTCGGGATACCACATATTCAAGTCTAAAACCTAATCCGCGTATTGTTTACAAACACAAAATATAAAAACATACACAAAAGTTCAAAATTTAATCGGCGATATCAGTTTATATTCTTTGAATGACCTACTGCTATTGTTTTATAAATGACAAAATCCAGCCACGTCCTAGCTGTCTCTGTTCCATCTGAAACCATAGCCTATGCCGTCACTTGGAATATACAGTCATAAATGCTCGTCATTACAATTTATATTATATTCTTTGAATGACCGCCTGCTTATATCACAAATTCTAGCCACCTGTCTCGGTTCCGTCTGAAACCATATCGCTCACAGACGTGTAAATACACCACCATCGCATGGAATATACAACAGTCATTAATGTCTGTCGTAAGATTCTTTGAATGGGCGCTACCTATTGTTTAATTAATCCCCTAATCCAGACACATGTTTTTGTAGTGAAGTATATTCGTATTGTTATTTGATTGCCGTTATGATTTTAGATTTTTAGAATACCTCACCGATTTTTGTAATAAAGTATACTCATATTGTTTGTTAATTGGCGTTATGATTTTAATGTTTAGACAACATTTAATTGACTTGATATGAAATCTGAATATAAATTATTAGATGGATAAATAAAAGATATTTTACAATTCATATTATTGACAGCTTAATCATTCGCCAAAATACAATTGGATTGATATTATTTCGGCACCATAATTAATTTTAAAACTAATCGTTGATTTTATTTCCGTGTAATAAATTATAAAATAAATCATAAATGAATGGAACCTGTTGTAAGGCGGACACTGCATGCTTTCTTTTAACGTTGGGTTATTTGAGATGCCAGGTAGTCTGAACAACTGAAGATAACATGTGTCGAAAAAGTGACTACGTGCAGTTTTATTCTTTGATCTGTTATATCACAGGGCAATTCTGTTATAGTGTAACAAACCTGCAGGAAAGGGACTATATTACAAGTTGAAAGTTTTGCATTGAGGATCGCTCGATTGTAGGCGATGTAATTTTAGTGAAATTGGTGCCGAGAATTGGCGTGTTCGGAAAATAATCTAAAGCGTATGCAAAGGAAGACGTTGGACACTATTCATGATAAAATATTTATAAAATGGGAATTATATGAACTGGGGAAGAAAAGTGTACCGGGGCTATTGAGGTGAGTCGTTTAGTGGCTGTGTAGTGACGTTATTTATTAATGAAACTGTTATTGAATAAAGTGATTAATTTTGTTGTTTGTTATTTATAAATGTGACCGCTGTAGATTGGCGAGTCTGCCACTGGGCGTAAAGAAAATTATACTTATATCAAACACTCATATTAATCTGAATATGAATATTTCTGCGTCCCTAACATTACACAATGTCGTGTGGACGACTTATTCTACATCCCGAAATTAAACTAAGTCGTGTGGACGAGTCAACCAAATCAGAGTGAATGACTTAACCAGATTTTTCGTGTAGACGACTTGACTGG